TTTTGCTAGCATAAAGGAAGGTAAATATTTAAGCTCAGTTATACATGTAGGGAATGAATAATGTCCAATACATAATTTCATTATATGCATTTTAATAAATAATTTTGTTCCCTTTAACCTAACCTACATTAAAAACAACATGATTCATGTCAATTAGGTTAATTTCTTATGCTAATTTTCATATTATTAAGATTATTATAGAATGTATGTAAATTTTCTTACTAAAATTTAAAAAAAGAAAAGTTCATTATAACGTTTAGGATACCGCGCTATTGCAACACCGTCTGAATTACACGGATTATGGACGGTATTTTCAACTTTCGGAAGTGGTAAAATATCTTGGTATAGACTATTTCAGCCATCCATTGAATTAGCATTGAAAGGATTTCCAATCTCGGCGGCTTTAGCAAATGAACTTGCTAAAAAGGAAAAGGCCATAATGACTGAACCATCACTGAAGTAAACTTTGTCTTTTTTTCGCTTTTGTATCATAACTTGAAAGTTCTTTCTTTATTGAAAAATAATTTACTTCATAATTTTTTAAGTTTATAGCATTTTGTATATTTTTCTACAAGAAAATTTTTTGACCAAATTGGTGAAAAAGTAATGAGGATGGGAGAATAGTATTGAAGTGATTATTAATCATAAATTTAACTTTAGGACTTTGTCTTTCATCATTGATAGAGTAATGACGAAGGATGTATTAATTAAACCGGAATAATCGAAAAAGCAACTTTCTTTAACCATAATAAAATTACTAAAATATGCATTAATTTAGATGGAAAAAAATGAGATCGGCGTAGATTGACAGTCAATTTTAGGAAAGTATTTGTGAATCCAAAAACTGAAAAAGTATACGAAGAAGGTGATATCATTACGAGAGATCATTTGGGTGCTACATTAAAAGAAATTGCAAATAGTTCTGATCCCCTGCAGCTATTTTATCGCGGTAACTACTTTTTACTTATCTTTTTCTTAAAAAATTACCTTTTTCTCAGTAATTTGGTTTTACATTGTGTCTTTCATTGCATTAATAGACAAGTTTAATATGCAAATATTGCTAACAAATGCATACAGAGAAGTGATATATTATCACTATTGTGATACATTGATATTATCATGGAAAAATCACGAATTCTTTTAATGAGAAGAATTTTAATTTATTTTTGTAGTACAATTTAAATGTGATTTTTGGTTGCAATAATTTTAAACGGAGAGGAAATTTAACAAAAAGAAAATGCATAAAAAACTGTTTCAAAGTGGAAGTTTAAAAAAATAATTATGTATAAAAAATAATTTTTTTTTTGCTGACATTTTTAACAAATTTCTAAGCCTTCCTCAAATAGCAATGTTTTTTTTCTGTCAGAAAAAAATTGAAATTGTCAGAATGTTTTCCAAATGCCATACGTATAGGAAAAAAGTTGTTTAAAAGTTTTCGGAAAAAAAATTGAACTTTAACTAATTGTTAAGAGCAGTTTAGTTCAGAGTTGAATAATTAAATATTTCTTTTAGCAGTAAACGTATCATTCTGTAATAATCAATCAAAGTGATAGAAATGTAAAAATATATAAGAATTAAGCAAAAACAATTAATATGTGTTGGCAACAAATATGAGTAAGTCATGAAAATACGCAAAAACGTGATGATCATTAGTAGACAATAAGTGATCGTAGATGCTTCTCACATAAACTAATTCTAATTCTTTGGTGTGACACGAAGAAATCTTCTTGGGATACGTCTCGAATATAACGAGAATATCGGAGTAGCTGACCGGATCACTTTGCTGGTGTCATCAAATATGTTAATGGCACAATTGCAATTTTAAGAAATGTAATTTTCGTTTGAAAGCTCACTCTTATAATTTATAGTAAATTGATTGTATTTTAAGGTGGTATTGCACAAACAATTGCTGCTGAAATTGAAGAACACGGTAAGAATTCTATTTTGTTGATCTCGGAGTTGATTATACTCATTTCAATCTATTAGGTAATAGAAGTTAAATTGCACATCGACTCGAATTCTACATGGAACTCTCTGAATGAAATCGAAATATCATTTCTGGCATTTCCGGAATATCATTCGTCTGATATGTGCCATATCTTTTTTAGGGGGTTATATATCTACGGATGATTTGAATAATTATAAAACAAAATTAAATGAAATTCCAATTATTATCGAACAATTTCTCGATGATTATGCCATGTGTGGACCACCACCGCCAAGTTCAGCTGCTATTACTCAAAGTCTCATATTAACTATAGCTGGTAATATATTTGATAATATTTTCCTTTTTCTCTTATTGATTATTTCAAAGAATATATAAATTCCAATATTACTTGGCTTGCTGAATTTTTTTGAGAAAACAAAATTGATTAAACTTTTTGTTTAAAATTAAATTTGATATGATATAAGATAAATCAAACATATCTGACTAATACATATTGCTATTATTCTTTAATTCATATGCTGTAGAATTGAAATTATTTCAAAAGTTAGTACATCAGATTAGATTCGATTATTAGCTTAATAATTTTCCTTTTTTTAGAATTTTATGATGGCAAAAGCGAATTTAATAGAGATGATTCATTATTTTATCATCGCTTAATTGAAGCAGAAAAATTTGCCTATGCCCAAAGGACAAAACTTGGTGATGCAGAATTTGTACCAGAAGCTCAGCAGATTGCAGAAAATATAATTGGAAGGTAAATCAATCAAGTTAATTTTGAAAGAGAAAATTTTCAAATGATTTCAAAAAGTTGCTTAAGAATTAAATTTGATATGATATAAGATAAATCAAACATATCCGACTAATACATATTGGAAAAAATTGAATTTTTCAATTTTTCATCCTAATATACAAAATTTCATGCTTTATTCTTTTCTAAATGTCTTCGGATCGATTGATATTATTATTTCAATCATTTTTATCTATTTCGATTCATTCGACAATTTCGCATTTTGATTGATTTCATTGATGTTTATTATCCAAACTAGAAGCTATCCATTTATTTTTTGTTTAATTTCAAAACTAAATCGAAGATCTTTTCATTTACGCTTTTAAGTTCTTATCTGAAACATATCAAATCTCTTATCAAAAATACATCTCAATCATTGGATAAGTATGAAGTTGATTTGTTCCAACAACCTGATGATCACGGCACATCACATATATCGGCGATCGATCAGAATAATAATATTGCGGTATCATGCACGAGCACCATCAATCGCATGTAATTTATTTGTTATTAACTCAAATAATATACGAAATTAATGCTGCTCGATCTATGCATTTCTCATATTGTAAATATGGATGGGCAAGGTCAAGGGTTAAATGGAACATTTACCTAACCGAATATAGTTTTAGAATACATGCGAATTTTTTCTGATATTTGGGGCAACATTGGATATTGTGGTTAACTATGTATATTCGAGACTACTTGTTAGCAAATTGATGACAAATAGCGCTTAAAATGAATTTATCAATTGCTTATAGAACAGAACGCTTTAAAATGGATTTATCAATTGCTTATAATAAAATAATACTGAAAAATTTCAAGTTTTTTTTTCACTTTTTTCTTTTCAAACTCTTTTTTCAAAATGCTTTAAAATTGATTGATTGCAGTTTTACACCGCTTAATGTGAACTACAAGGGAATACTGATAGAACAATAAATTAAAGCTAATTAATTGATTTTTTTCTTGAAACATTGATTTCAAATGAGAAAATACATAGCAGTGCTCAACCTCAATCTTTTTTTTTGCTGTGAAATTATGTAACTAAAACAAAGTTTGAAAATTTACATCACTTGAAAAAAGAACAAATTTTTATTGGAATACAGAATGGGTTCATTGCGCATTTCACCAACGCTTGGAATTGTTTGGAACAATGAAATGGATGATTTCTCGATTCCCGGAAAATCGAATTCCTTTGGATATTTACCATCACCAGCAAATTATATCCGACCGGGAAAAAGACCATTAAGCAGCATGTCACCTATGATCATTTACAATAAAAATACAGGATCGGTAAAAGTTTGTTGAAGAAGATTATTGATGCTTAAATTTATGATTGAAATAATAGATGCTATATGAAATTTTCCATGAAATTCTATCACTATTTATTGTAACTTAAAAACATTATAAATAGTTACCATATTTCTCGAAACGAATTTCAGACAAGTTATGAGGAAAAAATTTATGTCTGACAGAATAAGTTTATATTGTACAAAATTGATGATATTTATTTAATTGTCAAAATTTCAAAAGAATGTTTTTTATGATGTTATTCATTCATATCTGTTTTACAGCTTGCTAATGAAATCAGTAAGCATATTGCATTTTTTGTATAATTGAAAAAAGGAACTTAATAATAAATCACGAATTATATATTTTTAGATAAAAATGGTTGTTGGTGCATCCGGCGGTTCATATATCATTTCAGCAGTAGCACAAACTGTTATACGAAATCTTATTTTTAACGAGACAATTAAGGAAGCTGTTGATTCGCCACGTTTCCACAATCAATTCATTCCTCCAACAACTTTGTACGAATCTTCCATACCTCAGGTAATTTTTTTTCCATTTCTTTGCTACTAATTAACCACTTATATTACTAATAAACTGTGATATTATAACAAATTCGAATTTCTCTACTATTACAATCACTTTATTACCATATTGATCAGTACTTTATTAGCACATACTACTAATAAATTATGAAATTTAGGAAATTATAATGAATTTGGCCAGTGAACGAAATCAAAATATGACAGTAACTTCAAAATTAAAAAGCGTCGTGCAAGCTCTTGTAATAAATGCGGATGGTTATATTTATGGAAATAGTGATTTTCGACGGGAAACGGGAAGTTTTCCAGCCGGATTTTAACAATATAACATATATTTCATTTTTTTATCATTATATTTAAAACAGATTTAGACAGTTCGGTTGAATGTGATTTTTTGGAGGAGTGAAGAGGTGAACAATTTTCAATTCAAATTATTCATTTAACAGGAAAACGTTGTTTGTAAGCATAAAATGTTGTTTTAGAATTATTCTGTTATCACTTATGTATATATATTTACTATATTTTTTCATTTCTTCGTTTACAATCACAGTAATAAATTAATGAATCTTCCCTAAAATTATCACGAATTAACTTATTGCAAAAATCTATATTTAATCAATAATGCACCTGACCGACAAAATTTTACTTTTTCATTTTCATAATTAATAAGCCTCTTTTTTGATCTGTTATAAAATATTCATCTTTTTTAATTTTTATTTTAATTTATTAGAAAAATCGAATTTTTGGATAAGAAAATCAAATTTAAGAAACGAAAGAAATTAAATTGCACGAAATTTTATGATCAAATAAAACTACACCAAAATTTACGATCTCTGAAAACTCTCTAAAATTACACGAAAATTTATGATCAAATAAAAATCTTTTCCAGAAACCTTGAAATTAACTAATGAATAATTGCAGTACTTTATTAGCACCTACAAAGCTTTATTTTGTGTGCAACTTTTGTGATTGACGACGATTTATCATAAGTCAATGAAACTTCCTATTTTTCTTGACTGTTCATCGAATTGATAATGACCTGTTTTTTGACAGATTTGATCTTATCAAGCAACGGAAAGTTATCAGTACTCTTTATTCCATTCCAGATGAATTCAATCAATAATTTTGTCGGATATATTATTTTGATTTTATCAAAATTTAACTCATTATTTCATAATCATGTGCTTTTTTTCTTTCCACTGTTAGCACTTGTCTCATATTAGCTGAAAAGTAAGTTGAATAAGACTAACTCACTTAATGTCTGAAATTTTTGCTTGCAAGCACTATTAATAATCATTCATCTGTAATGCTCAAGAGAAAAAAATCAACTATTTCTGAACGTCTTTTTTCATTCCTCATTTGATTTCATTTTTTAAGGAAATTCCACATTAATTCAATTATTGATTGGATTGACTGGTTCAATTTGTAATTTATATAATAACTTATTTGTAAGTATTGTTTCAAATTATACGTTAATAAACCGATTTTTTTGCGTGGAATTTTATTTTGACAAAATTTATTCCAAAAAAATAAAAGTTTCGAAAAAAACTGGATAGAAATGATAGCATAATTTAATTTGTTCTTCAATTTTATGATATTAAAAAAATGACGAGAATATAAAAAAGTTGCAAAGTGATTATCTGAATTAGTTACTGTACGATGCAATAGTTCATTCTACATTGTTATGAACTTAGAGCGATGATGATAGCATTTGGTGTTCTAAATGAAGAACAAAGACCAGGAAGATGACATCATATGTAACTGACAAAGGATGAATGTGTTATTTGCTCATTTCAAATGCAAATTAAACTTCGAGTGATGAAAAAAATGATGATAAAAAAAGTTAAGAAAAAAATGATAACGAATATTTTTTTTCAGGTTATAAACATCATCTAAAATAAAATTTTTTTTGGATTTTATGAAAATTAAAAATAAAGTACACCATTAGATTGATTGTAATTAAGAAAAATTAAATTATACTCAAAATCACATGAAGTAATATGTATGCATCATATGAAGTAATGTATATGTACATACGTTATAACTAAAACTTTTTATGTCAACCAAACAAATACAAATCAATGGGAATAGCAGGTGTTTAATTAATTAAAAAAGGTAAAAAAGCAATGGGATTTATAAAATGAAACAGTCGCTCAATTATATCAAATGATATGAGCGACATTTATCGATACACGATTTGTTTTCACTCTTATGTGGAACGTTTAGGCCAGAAAATCACTGGACGATTCGACGACATTATCATCCATTACACTTAAACGTCGTTCTAACGGTACAAAAGAGTTTGTACTTATTATACGAATTGTCATATTTCCAACAAAAAGATCGCAACCATAGCCAACCATTTGAGGATTTATATGTTCAAAAATTTCTATATCTGCCCTGAAGGACATAAATTAATTAAAAGTTAAATGAATGAGAAACTATCACTATTAGGCATTAAGCATTCCACTCATTATTTTTTATTTTTTTTGAATATCAAAATAATTTCATGAAACTATGAATGCAAAATTTTATAAAGAGAAAAAAGAAATAATAAGCATTTACTTGTATCCACGATGACATCTTTCGGTAATAAATTTGAGTAATGGATGCTCTAAGGTTATCCTACGATGTCTTGTTTTTGGTTCAATATCTAATTTCATGATTACATTATCAATCTGAAAATCACTATTATTTCACTGGAATGCCACATCGTAATATGACGTATCATATGATATTAAAAATCTTATCGTATTATGCAGCTAGCAATAATAATTATTCATTAACCAATTCGATTCTTTTAAAATACTTAAAAAAAACAATAAATGCCATTAACTTTTAGTTTAAAGAAAAAGAGAAAGATGAAAAAATGAACTTTAAAATTATGGCTAGCTTCATCTAACACATCAAAATTTGCCGACAAAACTGTTGATTGTTGCGTTTTATATTGCTTTTCGTCTGGAACAATGTAACCACTTAATGAAAAGCATCTGCCATTTTTATCAATTAATAAACCCTGAAATGACCTATAATAATAATGTCATTTTAATATACGAATTCATTTTTGATATCTGTTTTAAGAATTAAAAAGATAAAAATTAGTTGAATCCTGGTGAATAATGTGTACAATTTTTCGTTTGTATCTGTTTTAAGAATTAAAAAGATAAAAATTAGTTGAATCCTGGTGAATAATGTGTACAATCGAAAGATTATTACAATAATTTTGAATGTTATAAATTCCGTGAATATATAAAAATATTTCCAAAATACTTTTGATTGTTTCGACTAAATTCCGAGTTTTGAATGTAAATATTGGCTTTAAAACATTTGCAAATAAAAATATGGTAGAATATTTTTTTAAAATTACAAAAAATGTTGTTTGATAATATTGTATTACTGACAGTTAAAAATTATTTTTTTCTTTATTATTTTTATTTTTCTTCAGTTTCACTATAAAAAAACTTTCATTTTCATTTTTGATAAGTATTTTGGTTTTTCATCGATGTTTGATTGCTCTGCTGTTTTTTTGTCCGAAAAAAAGTAATTTATATTTCTTCAAGTGGTTATTTTTAATTTAAGAAGAGCGTCTTTTATTTTTTAATGCCATTTTTTTGTCTTTTTTAGTTTACAGTTATACACATCACAAGATCCTACATTGAATGACGTTCTAATTTTAAATACTTTATCATATCTCGAAATGTATAGAAAATATGAAATTTGTTTGACTCTGATCTGGGTCTAATAAAAACCATGTAACAGATCATGCTTGCAGTATTTCTGTAATGTTAGTGTTAAAAAATAAAAATCATAAACTAAAAAATAAGTGATTGATGGAATAAAACTGTTTTCTTTCGGATAGAAAAAACAAAAAAACAATCAAATAATGATGCAAAACTAAAATACATCAATAAAAGTGAAAATGGAAGTTTTTTTAGAGCAAAAAAAGGAAAAAATGAAAAGTTATTCTCAGTTACTGATAGTGCAATATTATTAATTTTTAAACAGAACTGTAGAAGTTTCACGATATGTTTAATCTTTTTTCGAAAGTTAGAATTAAAAATATTTTCCTTCGAAATATCTGGTCAGATGATGATGTGTCTTAAATCAGTAGATTAATTAAATTTGTTAAACCGTCATCACGTCCTTTTTTCTACTTGCTAACAATTTTTTCTAATGAGAAATCTAATTGGATAATCTTTGCATCAATTTTCCTCTATTTAAAATTTGTCATAATGGTAGGATAAAGTGATAGCCTGCCAATACCGATCAAAATGATATTTTAGTAACACCATTCATGCATCTTGCATCAAATAAACTCTGCTTCTATATCAATGCTATTTCCATTCTTATTTGAAATTTTTGAATAATTTTGAGCTTTCTTTTCTGGAGAATCTTCGAGAAAGCACTTGCCTAATGAACTGTGCTGTTCCCGATTGCATGATCTTATTCATTCAATCCGGATAAGCAATCCGGAAATGAAAGAACTCTTTGCAAATCGTAAACATTATAAGTAATCATACCAAATTACAAAAATGTTGCTGTGATATTTCTAGTGAGGCTTTTTTGGAAAAATAATATTCTAATTTGTTTAGAGAAAAGAAATTTGAAGTTTCTTAAAGTCTATCTTTATCCCCATATTACTACACTTGAAAAAATAAAAGAAGGATTTTATTGACAATTTAAATTAAGGGCCTAACTTTTGTTATTTTTAATAGAATTAATATATCTTAATGAGAAACAGAAATGATAAATTTTTTGCCTGTAACTTCATTGCCTTTTCATCATACACAATCCGCGCGACACCAACAATCTCTACTTGATGAATAATATCGACTGAGTTTTTGTGTCTGAAATTATTTTATAAGTCGTATAAACTTTTCCCTTGAGTATAGGTAAATTATCCAAACAAGAAATATCATTGGAACCTATAACTAAAATAAGAAACGATTTCTAAATACAGCGTGAAAAAGGTACAAAGTTTAGAGTAAAAATTGGATTTTAAATTAAAGAGAAAAAAAATACATATACCTTAACATAACTGCTCTTCTCCAATAACAATGAATGGATAAATATCGGGAAAGTTTTATTTTCTTCTTTTTTCTCTTCCTTCTAAAATGAAACAATTTATATTTTTTCTATTACATGATATGCACCACCAATAACTATATCAAAAGTATTCATTTATTTGATAACATAACAAGAACAGCTGATGTTTTCTTGATCGTTTGACTAACTTTTCCATTTTATATTCTTCCCATTTAATTTTTCCCCTTTTCCAAAAAAAAGATCCTTTTTTTTAAATTATAAATCATATGTAAGCAAGTAGAACATTATTTTTATCTCTCTGCAAATCAAATAAATCTTATTAATTAACATTTTCAAATTTCTCTAGAAATGGATTAAATTTAGCAAATATCACAATTACGGTTGAATGCCATTAAAATGAAAAAAAAGAAACAATATTTCGCAAAAATAGGTGAAAGAAATAATATCCGAAAAACAAAAAAAAGAGAAATGAAGAAAAAAAAGCTGAAAAGAGAAAAAGACAAAGCAACACACCAAGCGCTTCTCCCTCAAATGAATAAAGCACTATACAACTGTCCCGAACGCTGTAATACGAAGGATTTCGCGGTAAACGAATGTGAAAGTTTTCTGTTAACGAATGCAACTTTCACTTTCGTATATCATTTATTAATGCTTGACAAATATTTCTCGGCTTCACCGAGAAATATTTTTCAAGTATTATTTATTTTTGAAGCTATTCAGATTTTTTTTTAAATTCTCACTCTTCTCTCTTATTTTTTTCCTTTTCGATAGAGCAAAAAAAAAAGTGCAGTTTTTCTTTTGTTTTAACAGTTAGGCTAACAATATGCATTTTTGTCTCTACCTTTTTTTTAAGTTTCGTGCTCTATAAACTAATAAAATTTCGATATTTCCATTTTTACCTTTTATTTTTTACTTTTGGATATAGTACAAAACTAATAAAATATATTTGATTTTACTACTCAAATGAAGCAAAAGAACTTGTTAACCGATTTAATTCAAAACAAATTCGATTAGCAAATATGAAGGAAAAGATAAATAATGAAATGTATTATTGAGAAAGTATTTACTTAGCCATCTAAATATTATAAAGTAATTCAGAGAAATTCATCATATTTCAAAGAAGAATTAAGCTGGAAGAACTGCACTTCAATTTCTTTAATTAAATTGCTCTGATCTGTCTACATTTTAAATTAAATCACTCCAATTTCCTCTTCCCTTCTTTACACACTAATTTCTTTTTCAACTTCTTTACATTTTAATTTCTTTTTTAACTCAAGATATCATATGACTTTTGTATTTATTTATGTTTTTTTCGATTTATTTACCCCTTTATTCCTTACCTCCTTTCAACGAGAACATTGTATAATTTAAGATAATAATGGAAAGTGGGATGTATACGAGGCGATATTGAACAATTAACTCCAACAAATGAAAGAATATTTGGAGAGTAACATCTTCCAATTCATTTCAAATTAAACAGGAAGCTATCATCCATTTCACGAGACGGACCTGTACGATGAAATGAAAACAGAAGTACACTCCCGACAACAACTTATTTGATCAAATAATCGCAATTAAAGCACGAACCTCTCGCTAATATTCTCCAGTTTTTGTTAACTTTTCCACTTTTCGCAATATATTTCGGATCATACAACAATGTTGTATTTCATTAGCTCTATTAGTCTTTTCGTATAACGTAGTGTCATATTTCGTCGGTCTTAGCAATCTCTCGCGAACTCTTCAGAACACATGCTCTCTCCATACTGCAATTATTTGTCTATTTAAGTAACTTTTGGTTTTTGTACAAAATTTATCAGACAGCTGTATTCTGATTCGAATACCAGTACCAATCCTTGGTATCCTATCGTTTCTTCCTCCTTCTAATCTTTAAGATGAGATGCTATTTCCTTTTTTTGCTCGATAAGTATATTACCTTTTGAAAACAATTTATCGAATTTCTATTTGATTTAGTGATTCAATTTGCTGCAGCAATTTTTGTAAGTAGAATATTACTATGAATTTAAGCCTGTTTCCATTTTAGTTAAAAAAAGTATTTTATAATTTCTTCTGGAATACAGGAAGAGATATGTTAACATTACGAATTTGCGCACGGTTTCGACCGGATGCAAACACATGCCGATTGCAGTCAACATTGGCCGAACAGATGAAGCAAGCCATTTCTGGAATTAATCCTAAAGATAGTGAAGAAGACCAAAAACGAATTTTAAATGAGCAGCGAGATAGTAAAGTAATATTTAATATTCGTTTTCATTCTGATCAACTATTGAATCATTGAGAATGGTACCATGAAAATAGGATGAAATCCCGAGAAATATTTACACGTTAGAAGTGATTAGTGAATTGGACAGAAGAGTTAACGGTTGACATTAAATATTGCTAATCTTGTTGACAAGGTAGGAAAACGAAATTAACCAACCGTTTTAAGTAATTTATAGCATTTAGTCTTGACAGAAACTTATTGCTGAAATTCAAGCTTTTAAATTTAAGTAGCCTTCTCAAGTTTTAAATATTTTTCTTGAAACCTGTCAAAGAAATAATTGTTTAAAACTTTAAGAATTTAATAGGGTGAGCCATTCCGTCCCGTGTTTTTGGGTCCGAAACGCAAATTGCGCATGCAGTTAAACATCGAAAAGGAAACAGGCCAACTGAAAATGCAGAGCTTACCACGTAGTGATATATTTCAGCGGATGATGGTAAGTGAATAGTATCTTATTTTTCTGACAGAGCTAATGCTGTATTTGCTATTATTTTTGGAATTCGAACAAATTAGTAAAGAACTTGCATTGAAAATATTAGGTGCGTTGTTTCGATTGCAGAAATGTGAGTTAAATTAATTAAGCAGGGAATTCCTTGTGTGTTGTCTATACATCCAAAGCAGGCCATTACTTCATAGAATCTCCAGTTTGGTATAATGTCAATTTTAGTGAATGAATTTTATTTGGTTTTGGAACTTGAACTTTTGTAAATAAATTGCAATTCCATAAATAGAAATATAAATCATTTAAGACAATTTTACCACAACTTGTTTATCATGTGGTTTAGGCGATTTTATCTAAATATCGATATAAATCATTAATTTGACGGTTTTTGACAATAATTTGCAACAATATAAAATTCTGTGAATTACTACGTCATCTTAACCTTATATTATAAAATAATTTCGAATTTCCGACATCAGTCTTCATCTGTTTTTTGCATTAATGCAAATTGAGAGTTAAAATTGAAAGGATGTTTAGATTCGTCGGCCGCGAAAGGAAGAAATGAGTGTCGAACAAGACTGGCCAAGTGTTTGGCCAACAGCACGTTCATTCCGATCCTCCGTGGTACCACTTCCAGTTCGAATGGGTGCTAGGAGGCATCCCGAAAGGAGAGCACCGTTCAAAACGGTAGTTTGATTTTTGTGTTCCTGTATGTGGTACATTTAATAGGATTTCTTTTTGAAAGTACCAACCCTATTAACATGTTTTAGTCATAAAATTAATCATTTCTACTGCAAAAGTTATGAAATATTTAAATTTCAGGAGGGTAATTTGGAATTGGTCAAAATACCGAATTTTCTTCATCTTACTCCAGCAGCTATTGAAAGGCATTGTAACGCAATCAAAAGTTTGTTTGCTTTTGATATTTATTTCCTGTAAATTTAACTTGAACATAATACTTTAACAGTCAGTTCACTATGACAGACGAAGATCAGAATTAGTTTGATTCGTTTTTTGTAACTCTTACACTCTTAATTCTTATATTGATAAGTAACATTGCATCAAATGAGCAGATGGGAATTTGAATTTTTATTCACAATAATTTGCAGTTTTGTTCTATTGTCATTTATTTTTTGTGTTTCAGAATTTTGTACAAAATGGCCAGAGAAATTGGATAAGAAAGCATGTCAAAAATTCTTCCCGTTAACAGTATCGTATTGCGATTACGTACATCAGGGTAACTCGTTACGTGATATGCGTTCACGTGTCATTATTGTTCACCTTAAGCTATCTGCATTGCATTTGAATGAACATGCTCTCGATAAATTGATTCGACTAGCAGGAGATAGGTATAATCCTGAAAATGATATACTCACGATTGTAACTGATAGGTAAGCATTTTAATTTCTCTCCCGTAATTTTTGATTTTCTTATATTTGTCGTTTTTATTCTTTTTTATATTATCATGTTCCAGGAAATGTTATATTTTTTTGAAACTCGCGATTCTTTTTATTTTTTACGACAAATGCAGAAATAACTGATTTTCATCGATTCAACTTGAAGTTCATAATATTTTAGGTGTTTTACACGAAAACAAAACTATGATTATGCTATGTATCTTCTTATTGCTTTATATAGTGAATCTTCTGTAAGTCCACATATTTTTAGGGCTCTTATGAAATCTAAAATCATGTAATTATTCAGGAAAATAATGCATTGAAATTATTAATTTACAAAAATCTGAATTTCTTTTTTTGCAGTGTTCTTAACAAAAAAGGTAAACGGAAACCTATCCCTCACAATTTCTGCAATTTGCTTTATATAGAGAAAATAATGCTTTAAGTCATCAACGTTTGCAGAAAGTCGAAGATTGGGAAGTGAAGAAATTTGAAGACATCAGATTGATATCACGAACCACGGATTTCAAAGGTTCCAAAATGGAAAATGACTTGCAGCATTTGCTCATTAATATGAAGGATGAACAGGTGTAGTTTCGCAATTTATTTTTTTAGCTTCTTAAGGCTGTACTCCTTGTTGCAATAATTTCCATCGTTTTAGAAAAGATTAATTGAAATGACAGACAGCTCTTAATTATTTTTGTTAATATTGATATTAATATTTTCGGATCTAATTATGGAGTGCTAACTGTTTAACATAATGAAATGATGTCTGATTTTGATCCTGCATGACAAATAATTTCCTGTAAGAGGTTAATTTCAGAGTAATGAAACAATTACGAGACAAAAAATCGACTTGAAACTTGAGGAATTTAGTAAGTCATGGGAAAAATATAGAAATAATGTACGTATTTTTGTTGATTGCTATGAGACGAAGACCGTCGAATGTTTAGTTTTGTCTTTTTAATCAGATGGAAAGTAAAAACTTATTTTGCTTGGAAAATATCGTAAAACTCTTAGAAGATGTAAGAAGCAATGCAGTACATGCTATAAAACTTGTAATCAATTACTGAATTCTAGTTGGTGCATTTTTTCAGTGAATTTCTACTTGCTGTATGTATATTATTTTATCAATTGAAATATTTCATATAATAGCAATCAGTAAAGTTATTGAGAATTTCTTAAACAAACTGTAATCAATTAAAATCAAAACATTACATATGATACAAGGATGCTTGATTGTTTTTAATCCTTTTTATGCCTTTTACAGATCTCCTGATTGAACTTACGGAAGTAATGTGTAAGTTAGACTTTTTCAGAAAGAAACATTCGAAACAGTGCGAAGTTATGCAGAATCGATCAAAAAATTACTTGGGATTTCTCAATTATCGGATCAGAAGACTGTCAACACATCGGCATCATAATTGATTTGTCTCATTTGTTTATCATCAACAATGTGATTGACATTTTCCCTTACTTTTCCCGTTACATTGTGCTCACTTATCTTTGCGTCTAAGGGAGTAATAAAGGAAAAGGTTGGAGTAACCGCTGCATAGTGTTAGCCGTGATCGGTTATGAGAATCGCAAATTTCTAAGCATAATTGTACTAAAATTTTCTTTGATTCTCTTTTTTAAGTATTAGGAACGCTTTTTTTCCCTGTTGCAGAAAAAGGATGAGGACATAAGTATTATTATTTTATGATATGCAACTTCAAAAATGTAATCTCAGTATTTTTGTTGTTCATTTTTAATATGAATAAAACAATCTGATTGAATTTACCCGATAATTGAAAAGTAAAAATGATGAAAGAACATTTTCAGAATTAATTCCTGTAAATTTTTTCTTTTTTTGAATAATCGATATCGAAAAGGACATATTCAGTCTTTTGCTGTCAAAACTTTCTTTTTAATTTAGAACTTTTGTATTTTTAGTGAAATCAGTTCTGTGAATTAAGTCAAATTCATCAGGCGTATTTTACCATATCCATTGGGCAGAATGGTCCACAAATGTTATTGAACAAGGCAAAGTAACATGAATGAAGCTAGAAAGTAAGTGAAAAGGACAAATGCAAAAACACCGCCATTTATTTTTTATTCGGAAGGGCACTTTTTAAAATGCTGGATTTAAAAATGAATTTAAATAAAACTGGGAATTTCTACCTTTTACGTGAGAGAAATGGGAGTTTTTCTTTCATGTATATCCGCATGTTCATGAAGGAACATTTTTAGAATTGTCTCAAAATTTTTCGTTCATGGGGAGAACAGAATGGTATTC